TAATATAATGTGTATTGTTTATTTAGTAAATTCTAGTAGTTTAGAAATTTTGGTATTTTTTGTAAAATTTAAAAGAATAATTAAATAAATGTTACTACACCAAAAAAAATTTTTTTTCAGTGTGCCTAGTGTTTGTGTCCTTTATTTTCCAGGTGTTTCCCATTGTGTCGCTCATTTTGCTGTCTCTTTGTTATCTGCCTGGAGTCATAGCTGCTTTCCTGCAGCTCTACAGAGGAACCAAATACAAGTCAGAAACAAATACATTCAGATACTTAATGTGTGCGAACCTGGACACAACATAACACTGAACTCCTGCAAACTGTTCGTTTCAGGCGTTTCCCTGACTGGTTGGACCGATGGATGCTGTGCAGGAAACAGATGGGTCTGTTAGCGCTGGCCTTTGCTTTCCTACATGTGTTGTACACATTAATCATCCCTATAAGGTAAACAACTAACGGAGCCGCACACTTCTGAACAACTCCTCGATGATTACATCTGAAACATCTCTGATTTTAAATTGTTTCACGTGGTCTTTGAACTTCAGCAGTCATTGCTGATAAAAGAAGCACATTTTCTTTCACAGTTTTGTTATTAATGTTTTTGTGTTGTTTTATGACAGCTCACTGAACTCTGGACTTTTACTGTTCATATAACCGATGTAAACAATGGTTCTAAAGGAAACACGTCACACTTTTAAATCCTTTATCACATTTAAATCATTCAGTTGGGGTCTGTATGAGGAACTGCAATGCTTTGCTATGAATTCCTCCTTATTGTGACTCTGCAAGCCCCCTTTTTCACACATTTTCTGAGTGTCTCAGAGCGACTCGTTTTGTGTCTGTCTCTTTAAATCCAATCAAGGCTCTTCACCACCCCCAGCTTCCATACCAGGTCATTTGATAGAGGGGTTTATGACTATATAGCAGTGCAGAAACGTTAATATAAAATATACTGTTTATAAAATATAAAGATATCTACACAGCACTGGGAGAGACTGAATTCGTTTTTTTAACACTCCTAGAGACTCCAAATACATAAAACATATTTAACAGTTAAAAAAGTGGGATTTGGTTGAAATGTCCCCTTTAAAGATCCAGTTGGAATGATGTAGTGGCCTCTAGTGGCTTCAGTAAAAAATACATATTGTTTTAAAAATAATTTATTTTAAATATTAGAGGTTTCCTAAAATTCTGTTAGATGAGTAGATAGATTGGCAGATGGATATAGAGATGGTATAAACAAACACAAGTAGTAAATTTTTGATTTTAATCCCTAGTGTAAAAAACAAAATCTACATTTTTGCCATCCTGTTGAACTTTTGTGCCACAAAACATTTTTAGTAAGCAAAATGAATTAAAATAAGAAATAAATAAGTACCTTTAAAATACAAGTTATCAATTATTTGCTGTTGCAGAATGTTTATACACTAAACAAAGATTAAACTTTTTTTGGCTAAACAGTCAGTTTTCCAGATACTGAGCAACATAAACAAGATAACTGTTTAAAACTCTACGAAGGGACAGCTGGAATTGAAGGAATGCTTGGGTTTTATTCTCATAAAGAGTTCCAATGATTACTGTCTTGGAAAAAGTTTTCCTATTTGAAATTTTCAGAAGGATTTTGATGTGAACAGTTTTATTTTTGTCTCCAGATACTACGTGAGATACAGACTTTCAGCAATTACTATTTCAGAGGTAAGAACTATATATAAAAAATTTTCAGATACTTCGATAAGTGTTGTTGTTTTAATGCAAAATAATAGCTGGACATATTTTGTTGTTTTGTTTTTGTCACTTTAAGATCAGAGAGAACAAAACGACTGAATTTGACACAACCATGGCTTGGCGAACCGACTCTTACTACTCCATGGGGGTCCTAGGATTTGGCCTGTTTCTCCTGTTGGGAATAACTTCTCTGCCCTCCGTCAGCAACGCCCTGAGCTGGAGAGAGTTTAGCTTCGTTCAGGTGAATTTAGACATACTTTACTTTTTCATAAAAATTGTGCTTGACTGAGTCACTGATTCATGTTTACTTTGGAACTCATCATAAGTCATAAGTTGTAATATGAGATGGCATTTTCTAAGGTGTATGGCAACAGCAGCACTGAGAAGCTGGGCACAGCTTACTGTCTACGTTTTCACAAGAGCTGAGAAATGTCAGTTATTGAACTTTTGAATAAATATCACAAAGCTCAGCATCATCCCTAACACCTATTCTAACTGATACACATTGTGCAAGATCTTTAACTATATTTTATTTTTTTGGCACTAGCAGTGGATGTTAGTTGTGTTTGTCTGTTAGCAAAATATCAAATAATTCAACAAATTTTAATGGAACTCCAAGAAAAAAGTAATCATTGGATGTACATCCACCAACCAACCAACCAACCAACCAACCAACCAACCAACCAACCAACCAATCAACCAACCCATTCTCAGTCCCAAGTCGTCACATATTGACGCTTTTCCAAAGTTCCCTCTGCGTCCGATTTTAACGCGTCGGGTACTCCCCTTGCATCATTTTTTGACGAGATGGGGCGGAATCTGTTGTCATAATTTCTGAAAGTGAAGAAAATGCACAAAAACTACCGTCCTGAAGCCTAAAATTACCTTTATTCACTTTAGACATCCTGTCCCTGACCCTAGTACTTAAAATTAACCATTAACCCTGATACCTAAAATTATCCATTTTTAGAAAATGTAGGAAATTCACATCAACTACGTGTGCCAAAGCCTAAAATTACCTAGTTTTCGCAGTAGACATCCCATCCCTGGCCCCAGTACCTAAACTTAACCGTTTATTCTGATCCCTCACATTAACCTCAGACCCCCGACCCAAAGACCCCTGGGGGCGCAACCCAGAAAAGCCGTGGACGGCAAAGACTGATGTGAGGGGGTCACCAGGCGCATCAAAATAAGACGCAGAGGGAACTTTGGAAAAGCGTCAATATGTTGACAAGTCAGGGGTGAGAATGTGTTCAACCAACCAACCAACCAACCAACCAACCAACCAACCAACCAACCAACCAACCAACCAACCAACCAACCAACCAACCAACCAACNAACCAACCAACCAACCAACCAACCAACCAACCAACCAACCAACCAACCAACCAACCAACCAACCAACCAACCAACCAACCAACCAACCAACCAATCTTTCCTTACAGAGCCTTTTCTAAAAGCCAAAAGATGCACTAAATGCAACCTTTCCTGTAATGTAAAGATTTTACATTGTAAAAGGCTTAGATCAGTCTTAATGTAGTCTTCATGCAGTTTGTTCCAAAAAGCCCTGAACACCCCAACGTCTGTATTAAGATTTTGGGGCAAACAGTAAAGAGATGTTAGTTGACTTCAACATCTACAATGAATTAACATCTGGAGTTTTTGTAGTTGATATTGGCCATGTCAGCTTCTCAACACTGGAAAACTGTTTTTATGTTAGACTGAACTGTCGACATGCAAGTATTTCTTTTTCAAGTTCAAAAATTCACAGCACCAACTGATGGCCTGATGGAAACAGCAGACTCAATACTGTTCATCTGCTACAATCTACATTGGAAAAATGCTAACAATCCCAGAGATCATTCATGTGTAGACAGGGCCTGAGATGCTAGAGAAATAGAGAAATGTATATGGATTATGAAAACTGTTATGAAGTCTTGTTCCTTATTAGGTACCAAACAGCATGTCCAACATCTGTATAACCCCCCCTGAAAAAGTCTTGGCCACCTTTGTGCCATCTCTTGCATAAAAGTTTAGCTCTGACTCTGTCCATTAGCAAAACATCTTAAAAAGCACTAGTTATATTTTAATAAAGCTTTTAGAAGCCAATCATTTGTTGTACGTCTACAAATGATTCATTATTGAAGTCAATCTGATTCAATATGGCTGCCACAGCTAATCCACCTTAGACACCACAAACAGAGTGACAAATAAATGAAAACCTTAGACGATGAACTTAATAGCTAAGATTTCTTAATAACACTTACTCTAAGTTCTAATATGTACCACATGATCTTGAACTCATTAGATTTATAAAATAATTTACAAATTTGACCAAAGGTTATATGCATTTCTTTAAGAAATTTAAAGAATACCTTTTTTTGTCAGATCACCTTATCTTTTCTTTAAATAGAAATAAAAATGTGAAAGAAAATTGAAATAACAGAGCAAATGGTGCAGCAATACACCAGATGTGGATTCTGGAACTCAAAAGGAATTTGAATACAGGCAGCAAAAAACCTGTTTGTTACAATCTTCTCCTGCTTGTGCACCAAGATTCAGTCGATGACTGATGAAGACAGTTTGCTGCTCCAGCTCAGATGGAAAAACACAGGCCACATGTCTGTTTTTAACTTCCTGTTTTTCTGCTGAAAGTGTGTTACAGGCTTGTTTTTTTCTCCCTTTGCAGGCTCATTTGTGATCGTTTGATTTAAACAGACTCAGATGTTTACCTATTTTTCTTGTGCTGACCAATGGGAACAAGGAAAAAAAAAACCTCATTCATAAATGTATTTGGGTCGTGTCAAGCTAATTTTCTCGCTCCATCCTTCCTCTTAACTCCGGCACAAATTAGAGCGACTCTTTAAATGTTAAGTTATTCATCAAATGTAATTTGGAGACATACATTATCCTGAGCCACAGTCTTAAGGTTTGCTTTATGCATCTCCACACACACACACACACACACACACACACACACACACACACACACACACACACACACACACACACACGTTGGTACTTTATGTGAATTTATATTCCCTGGAGAGGGGAGCTGAATAACCTCTATGAAATCTGTGTGCATAAAGATATGTTGGAGTGTGTGCTAAAGCTCTTCCCTGTAAAGGCCACTCTGATGCTGCAGTCCCCTTCACACTGGATGATGACCCCCATGACAATGTTAAAAAAATCCTCCAGAACGTAGACAGTCTTTGCAGGATCTGTCAAGGTTTTCAAGGTAGTATAACAGACCCCCTCTACATGTCATTAAAGATGATAGGGCCACAGTGGTTTTGAAAATGCACAAGAGTTTTATGTATATCAAGGTTGGGGTGGTTTATTCTTGTGGTGGCAGCATATCAAGGTCCTGGATGGAGCGTGGTGCAGAGTAACCATAACAACAAACTCTTGAGCATGTTTAAATCTGGTTTTCAGTGTTCTACCATGATAAAATACAGATTTTTTGTTGTTTTATTAATCCCAAGAATTTAGTAAAAATACTCTTCAAATGGCAAAGGGAAATTTCTAGTTTTGAGTAGAACTTTTACTAGATTTTCAGGGGGAATTTACCCCTGGACTCCCCCTAGAACTGCTTCAGTCCACAGCTGCTTATTAGCATGAACAGATTCCTCATTGCTGTCAGCAGATGCTGGCAGATATGAGGTAGATCTCTGTTTCAAATGAATTATCAGAGTTGTAAAGTAACTAAGTACAAATACTTCTTTACTGTACTTAAGTAGAATTTTTGGGTATCTGTACTTTATTTGAGTGATTTTTTTTCCAGCCTACTTTTTACTTCTACTCCTTACATTTTTACATAATTATCTATCCTTTCTACTCCTTAAATTTAAAGAAATGGCAAGAAGTAGAAAGTCGTTACTTTTATTTTTGCTTGTTTTCATTGCAGCTTGTTCTTGTAAAAAATAAAAACTATCCATATAAACTGTGCCTCCTAAATAGAGTGAATTTAACTGTGGTTGAATGAGAAGTATAAATATATAAAACTCTGATAGTGTATTAGTTTGTACACAAACAAATCATGTCACACTCCAGCAGGACAGAATCATTCAAATAAAAGGACTGTACTTAAGAAGTATTTGTATTTCATGAATTATATTCTTACATTTGGCCGCAGCCCTCAGATAGATTTTCATTTTGGGGAAAAGCTTTGTGCAGCCTTGATATATGTATATAAACTGAAACAGCTGGACTAGTGCATCCTAAATTTAACATCAATTAATTATTTTAATACAATATAGTCATTTCCACATTTTGGGGGGAGGTCACCTCCTAATAGATGTCAGAAAATCTAATTGCTCATTTTAAATCAAAACTTTTACCTTTAATACTTAAGCACAACAAATATCAAATACTTTAAGACTTTTACTCAAGTAATATTCCTAAAGGAGACTTTAACTTTTACCAAACTCATTTTTTGGTAAGATACTTGTACTTTTACTCAAGTATCACTTTGTGGTACTTGATACAACACTGTGAATTGTATCTTTTACCATTTTCATTGGACAATCTGGCTTCTGAAGATAAAAAGATATTAAAGAAAATTATTTCATGTGGTGTATGTGTGTATGTAAATTGGCAGTGAGATTTAGAAAACTGCACAAGGGGCACCAGCTGAAGTTTTGCCCAGAGCGCCACGTTGGCTAGGACCAACTGATGCTCAAACACTCCTATGTTATTGCAACGCTCTTGATGACATGCTTGCTCACGTTGCTACAAACATTGAGTTTGTGCCACGGTCTCACCAGTGYGATAGCAACTACTAATCCATGTACGCTCAATCCGCCTTTCAAACTGTGGCGTTCCATTGGTGTCAAAAATAAGTATTTCTGTCTATGTAAGATGTATATGTATTGGGATATGTAAGGTGATATGCTAAGTGATATGCTATGTCATATGTTTTGTGTAAATGTAAGGATATACATCTCACATAGACAGAAATACTTATTTTTGRCACCAACGGAACGCCATATTCGGATGCAAATCAGTTAGCTCTTGTTCTCATCTTACTCAAGTGGGTGTGAAGGAATGAACAGTGGATGTGCTCGACGATTTGTACAGAAAACTCTTACCCCCAATCCTCTCATTCTGCTAATAAGCCAGAGCATCCTTATTTCAGGAGAAAGCCATGGTCCGACCTAGAGAGTCACACTTTTAGCTGAGCTTGACCTTGAAGCGGTGGCAGGTGTATTACAGCTTGATTATTTTGGTGGAAGTGATGACCTTGTCACTTTTAAGAATGCTTATGTGTTTTTTTCCCAATGGCAACGCTAAAACTGGTGGTTGAAGCCACTGTTTATTATTGTAAAAGAGTCCACATTTGTAAGAAAATGCATTGTACGAAGGGATGGGAGGGGAGTTGTCCTGTATAGAAGAGTTACAACAAAAGTCTCTGAAAAACATCTGAATAATTAAAAGAAATGTGTGTAATCCCTGAGTTGTTCAGGACCACAGTTATGTAAGGCTAGTTTAGCTGATTCTTTGTAAATAACCCTGTTTTTTAAAAATTATATTATTGTTTCTGTCTTCCAGTCCAAGTTGGGATATGTGACATTATTCATCTGCACCTTTCACACCTACTTGTACGGCTGGGACAAATTCCTTCGCCCTTACAAATGGTACACTCCCCCCGGCTACATGCTCTGCCTGGTTGTGCCTTCAGCTGTGCTGCTTCTCAAGCTGCTGCTTCTCCTGCCCTGCGTGGATAAAACCCTGACTCGCATCCGACAGGGCTGGGAGAGAACTGATCCCGAGGATGTCGTCAGGAAGTCTCTGCTAACGTAGGACCAGGACTTTTAGGGTGTGCACAGATGGTACAAAGACACGGTGGCTTAACTTCTCAAAGCACTTTAAATGTCAGCCATAAACACACACGCCATCTTTAACAGCTTCACAATATGTATGTTTTGTACCTTCAGTATTTTATGATGTTKGAAATTTATTACCAAAGTATATTTCAATACATTCAGCATGACAGGGTTCAACACGAATGCCTAAAAACTGTTCAAACTTATTTCTAGTAAAATTATTTTGACCATTTTTTATCTTTTTTTTCTCAGTTGTCAGTTGATGGAATAATGTTTGTTTGTGTCACAATGTTGTTTATTTGACTTATTTACCTTATCTTTTTATATAGTTCAATCTTTATGTTCCACATGCTCCTATAAATGTTTCTAAAAATAAAATTGTAAAAAAAAGCACCTTTCAAAATAAAATTTTGTAACTCTGACCAGCAATTTTTTCTCTTCATCCTGATGTTATTTTTCCAGAATCTCAGAGAAAATTATAATTTAAAAACGTAACTTCCGTTCAACAACAAAAACATATTAAAAATAAGGTGTGTGATTAATAAATTCATTTTTACAAACACAATTGTTTGAACAGACTTGCGCGTAATGTC